AAGACTTGATATACGATTACATGAACATAAAAATAAACCCAATTCTAATATTTTCAAACACATCAAAGAGACTGGACATAGTATGGATTTCGAAGGGGTGAAACTATTGCATAGGTGTGATAAAGGGTTTAAACTTGATTTATTAGAATCTTTTGAGAGTGATAAACATAGTAAAAACAATTACATTGATCTTCTTAATGAACAAGTCGATATTTTCTACACCCCTCTTTACAAATATATACCTAAAAAATGTTTTAATAGCTAATTTTTTATTTTTATTAAGAAATTTTTTTACAGTTTTTCATTTTGTTTTGTGAGCAATTTAAATGTAATATAACGTAGTTTTATCTCTCTTAAACGTTTGATTTTCTTCTTTTTCTTGTAACTTCGATAAATTTACTTTTGCTGTATCCCATAATTTTGATTTTCTAGAACAATAACTAGAACAACCCAGAAAACAAAGAAAATTTGATTTTTCCAAAAATGGATGGGGTTAGTCAAAAAACCTGTTTATTCGGTTTTCTCGCGGAGTTTTTATTTTTTCGATTTGCCGCTTTGGAACAATGTAGAACAACTCTAGAACAATCTAGAACAACAATTAAAAATTTAAAAATCAAAAAATGGGGGGCTAACTACCCGCACTCCATAAACCGACCGACTTCTGACTACGGTATTCCCCCATTGTATTTTGTTACTGTATACATCAGTTTCTGTAAGATGCTATCAAAATTGGAATTAAAATTTTTTTTGGGATTAGTGCTACAACAAAAAATTTGTGTAAAAAAATGTATTGATGAACCGTGTTATTTCAAAATCGTGTAAAAAAAGAGTTGGGTGTATGATATTCGAAACGTTATTTTTGATTTATTGACTAAGTTTGGTGGTGTTACAAAATTTTTCAAAAAAGTTATGAANTCCTTCTCCCTCAGTTCTGTTTTCTTTCTACTGCATAACTCTCTGTATCCTCTCCTGGCCTCCCTATATCTATCCACCCCTATCTTCCCCCGTCTCCACTGCCTCAACCTCCTTCTCGCCTCCCTCTTCGCCTTCTTGCACTCGCCATCATACCAGTCGTTCCTCCCTACTCTGCCCCCCCTACGTACACACTCCCTTTTCAGTGTTGCCTCCCGCACTACCTGGATAAGTTCTTCCAAACCATTGATCTCTTGTATCTTCTGTTGCCAAGTGTCTAGGTTTCCCCTGTAGAATGCTACCCCTTCTTCCGACCAGTCTGTCCTGATGAACGTGCTCCCCATTTCCGCTCGCCTTCTGCCGACCCCCCAAAAAAAAAAAACCTGTTTATTCGGTTTTCTCGCGGAGTTTTTATTTTTTCGATTTGCCGCTTTGGAACAATGTAGAACAACTCTAGAACAATCTAGATCAACAATTAAAAATTTAAAAATCAAAAAATGGGGGGCTAACTTCCCGCACTCCATAAACCGACCGACTTCTGACTACGGTATTCCCCCATTGTATTTTGTTACTGTATACATCAGTTTCTGTAAGATGCTATCAAAATTGGAATTAAAATTTTTTTTTGGGATTAGTACTACAATAAAAAATTCGTGTAAAAAAATGTATTGATGAACCGTGTTATTTCAAAATCGTGTAAAAAAAGAGTTGGGTGTATGATATTCGAAACGTTATTTTTGATTTATCGACTAAGTTTGGTAGTTTTACAACATTTTTCAAAAAAGTTATGAATTTTTTACGTATTTCGGGAGTGATTTCGACCCTTTATTTTCTGAATTTCCGGGTGGTGAAGCTTTTTCAGTACAAATATGAATTTTTCACACAATGAGAGGATGTAATTATAATTTTGATGTTTTTTTTTGGTTGTAATCACTAATAATTTTTTCCCTAATAAATACGAAATTATAGAGTACACTATTTGCTTGGTCCGCTGTAAAAAAAAGTGAATTTCGTTTCTGAATCCGTTGCTAACTTCAACATCTTATAATTTTATGTAAAAAGACAGGTTTTTCTGGCCTTTATCACGCGAATACCAGTTGAATATAATAGTCATACTTAAAATGTCGAGATAATTACGTTATTTTCTCATCAAATGTTTTTTTTAATTGGCAAGTGGTATAATAAATAACACTTTAGATTAGAATTTTCATTCATTCGGTTGAAAATTTTAAATAATCATCACGAAAACCTATTTTTTAACTTTTTTTATAAACCTAATCATGTTGAAACGAAGTTTATGTGTTTTTTTAGGATTATTTTTTATTGAATTACTTAAAGCTGAAGAATTACGTAAGTATAACAATATAATACAATGAAATAATTTTAATTTACATAATCATCAGCGAATTATATTAAAAAATGTAAATTGTCCGATCCAAATATGAACGAATGTTTTGTTAAAAACGCCAACGATGCCATTCCAACACTCGTTAAAGGTAAAATAAAATAAAATTTTTTTGTTTGTTTAAAACGTTTTTAATTATTTTAGGAGACCCAACGTTTAAATTAATCAATATGTCACCGGTTGTTATTCCAGCTGTTAATTTGGGATCAGGGCCAAATTTGGAAATGAAATTAACCCAAGTCACCAGCAATAATATTAAAGATTTTCGTTTATCTAAAGCAAAGTAAAATGAAGTAATTTGGTTACTTAATAAAATAAAATGAATTTTTTTTAGTTTTGATTTAAAATCGAATAAGATTTGGTTAAATTCGAAAATGGACCGTTTGGAAGTGATTTCGAATTATTTCATTAAAGGACAAATCTTAGTATTACCGATAAACGGGGAGGGAAAATCAAATATAACATTTAGTTTGTTTATAAAAAAAAGCATTAAAATTATCTTGATACATTCGTTAATTTTTAGTTGGAAATGATATGACTTATGAAGCCGATATTGGATCGAAAGATATAAACGGAATAAAATATTACACGATTGAAAATCCAACGTTAAAAGCTGTGCCAGATAAAGTTTATTTTCACTTTGATAATTTATTTGGTGGTGATCCTAATTTAGGTAAATCTTACTTTACCGGGAATTTCATATAACTAGCAATATATGAATGCAGTAATCATAGTTACGAAACTACTATGCATATAATAGTAGTGCACTGCCCCACGTAAAATGCAATATAGCTTAATAGTATAGGTAGTATTGCAAAAGAAAAGTTTTGCTTGGAAAAGGTGACGCCCTTATGATAACTATGACTTTTCGGCCATCTTAAGAGACGCATGGCTAAACCCGAATGATTCTAGTTCTTGGTCTTGTTTTGCACATTGTGCTGCATATTTTTATTGAATTAAAACTAGAAGTAACACATGACCTAGAACTAGAATCATTTGGGTTTAGCCGCACGTCTCTTAAGACGGCTAAACCCTAATGATTCTAGTTCTAGGTCTTGTGTTAGTTCTAGTGACAGTACTAGTGCAAAACTCAAGACTTCAGACGCACGGCTGAACCCGAATGTTTCTAGTTCTAGGTCTAGTGTTGGTTCTAGATTTAATTGTTATTCACAAGAACTAGCACTAGATCATTCGGGCTTAGCCGTCTTTCGAGACTTGCGGCTAAACCCGAATGTTTCTAGTTCAAGGTCTCGAGTTAGTTCTAGTTTTGTATATAGTGTTGCATATTTTTATTGAATTAAAACTACAACCAACACTAGACCGAGAACTAGAATCATTTGGGTTTAGCCGAAAGTCTCTTAAGACGGCTAAACACGAAGGATTCTAGTTCTAGGTCTTGTGTTAGTTCTAATGACAGTACTAGTGCAAAACTAGAACTAACACTAGACCTAGAACTAGAAAGTTTCGTATTTAGCCGTGCGTCTTCAGGCGCACGACTAAACCCGAATGTTTCTAGTTCTAGATCTCGTGTCAGTTCTAGTTTTGCATATAGTATTGCATATTTTTATTGAATTAAAACTACAACCAACACTAGACCGAGACCTAGAATCATTTGGGTTTAGCCGCACGTCTCTAAAGACGGCTAAACCCGAATGATTCTAGTTCTAGGTCTTGTGTTAGTTCTAGTGACAGTACTAGTGCAAAACTCAAGACTTCAGACGCACGGCTAAACCCGAATGTTTCTAGTTCTAGGTCTAGTGTTGGTTCTAGTTTTAATTGTTATTCACAAGAACTAGCACTAGACCTAGAACTAGAATCATTCGGGCTTAGCCGTCTTTAGAGACTTGCGGCTAAACCCGAATGTTTCTAGTTCAAGATCTTGTGTAAATTCTAGTTTTGTATACAGGGTGGTTCAGTTTTTAATCGGGAAACTTTATTAGAACGTAGTACTTGCCAAAATAACACAAGTTTTTTATATAAACATAGGGTCGCAACTCTTTTGTTTTCGAGCTATGAGCTGTCAAAATTGAGCCAAAAATTTACACTTTATCTTTTATTTCGGGTATAAGTAAACCATAGAATTTGAAATTTTGTATGCATGTACCACTGGTNAATCATTTGGGTTTAGCCGCACGTCTCTAAAGACGGCTAAACCCGAATGATTCTAGTTCTAGGTCTTGTGTTAGTTCTAGTGACAGTACTACTGCAAAACTCAAGTCTTCAAACGCACTGCTAACCCCGAATGTTTCTAGTTCTAGGTCTAGTGTTGGTTCTAGTTTTAATTGTTATTCACAAGAACTAGCACTAGACCTAGAACTAGAATCATTCGGGAATAGCCGTCTTTAGAGACTTGCGGCTAAACCCGAATGATTCTAGTTCAAGGTCTCGTGTTAGTTCTAGTTTTGTATATAGTGTTGCATATTTTTATTGAATTAACACTACAACCAACACTAGACCGAGAACTAGAATCATTTGGGTTTAGCCGCACGTCTCTTAAGACGGCTAAACCCGAAGGATTCTAATTCTAGGCCTTCTGTTAGTTCTAGTGACAGTACTAGTGCAAAACTAGAACTAACACTAGACCTAGAACTAGAAAGTTTCGGGTTTAACCGTCTTTAGAGACGTGCGGCTAAACCCGAATGTTTCTAGTTCTAGGTCTCGTGTTAGTTCTAGTTTTGTATATAGTGTTGCATATTTTTATTGAGTTAAAACTACAACCAACACTAGACCTAGAACTAGAGTCATTTGGGTTTAGCCGCACGTCTCTAAAGACGGCTAAACCCGAATGGTTCTAGTTCCAGGTATAGTGTCAGTTCTAGTTTTAAACTTGAACGGTCACTAGAAGTAACACAAGACCTAGATCTAGAAACATTCGGATTTAGCCGCACATCTCTCAAGACGGATATACCCGAATGATTCTAGTATTAGGTCTTGTGTTACTTCTAGTGAGAGTGCAAGTTTAAAACTATAACTAACACTAGACGTAGAACTAGAACGTTTAGGATTGAGCCGCACATCTCTAAAGACGGCTAAACCCAAATGTTTCTAGTTCTAGGTCTAATGTTAGTTCTTTTGATGGTGTCTGAAGACGCACGGCTAAACCTGAAACTTTCTAGTTCCAGGTCTACTGTTAGTTCTAGTTTTACACTAGCACTATCACCAGAACTAACATCAGACATTAGTCTTGAAAGACGTGCGGCTAAATCCGAATGTTTCTAGCTCTAGGTCTAATGTTAGTTCTAGTGATAGTGTCTGAAGATGCACGGCTAAACCTGAAACTTTCTAGTTCCAGGTCTAATGTTGGTTCTAGTTTTAATTCAATAAAAATATGCAACATAGGGATATCTTATGCTAACTAGCGCTACCTATCACTATCATTAGAACTAACATTAGAAGCCGAATGATTCTAGTTCTAGATCTAATGTTAGTTCTGGTGATAGTGCTAGTGTAAAACTAGAACTAACAGTATACCTAGAACTAGAACAATTCGGGTTTATCCGTCTTTGGAGACGTGTGGCAAAACCCAAATGACTCTAGTTCTAGATCTAGTGTTAATTCTAGTTTTAATTCAATAAAAATATGCAACACAGTGATATCTAATGCTAACTAGCGCTACCTAGCATTGTTACTAGAACTAACATTTGACCTAGAACTAGAAACATTCAGGTTTATTCGTCTTCTGAGACGCTCAGCTAAATGGAATGTTTCTTGATGTGTTAGTTTTAGTGCTAGTGTAAGTCTAGTATTATTTGTTATTCAGCACTAGATTATTGTATATTTTTATTGAGCTATAATGGACACTGCCTTTTCCGTATTATTCCGTTATATCGAGGTATTACTGTAATGTCAAATTATGTTCGTATGTTGCATTTTATGTGGGACGAAGTAAGTATATAGTAATGTTTTAATATATTGCATCTTAAGTGAAATTCACTGTATAATAAAGAATAATGAATCCTTTTAATTTAGACGAGATTTTTTCGATAAAAAACTTTACGATTTAAATTTAAATTGAATTTTAAATAATGGATCATTCCATGAAAGACGATTCAAGTTCTAAGATAAAGTCGAAAGTTTTTCTTTTGTAGGAAAGCAAATGAACAATTTCTTAGATGAGAATTGGTCTGATTTTTACGACGAACTTAAACCAGCTTTACAGAAAGCGATGGAAGCCGTCGTTACAAACGTTTTTAAAGTTTATTTTGCAAAAGTTCCTGCTGATAAATTGTTTGAATAATTCAAAATGTTTTTTGTTAAAGTTTATTTTGGTTAAGTTTTCTAATACAGGTGATTTTTATGTATCAATTAAAACAAAATAAAACAAAATTTAATACCTTGTCGAGCGTCGATTTCATTTCCATAAATAACTCCTTTTCATTTTTTGTTAAATAAGTTTCGATTAAATCACTTAGGATAAATAAAAATAGGGCGATGTTGAGAGATTTTTGGGTTGATATTGAGATAGATCAGGGATGATGTTTAAAGATGTTAAGAAGGGTGTTAATAGATGATGGGAAAAATTTTGAAGAAGGCAATAATGATAGTGCGAGATAATAAGAACGAGTTTGAATATAAGAAAACCAAGAAGAAGCTAAGTGTACCGATAAAGATAAGCAAAGAGGGAAATGGAAGGAGTTGTGCGAAAACTTGGAAACGGAGTTACAAAAAGACTGAGGGCAAGAAGGAAAGTGCAATTTGATGCCAAAATATGAAACAATCTTTAAGGGCATTAGAAAGTGGCGGAAACAAGGCTATCCTTGGCTATATTTGGATAATATACCTAAAGGGGTGTGGTATGTACTACACGCTTCGACCTGATATGGTGACAAACTGAAGTCAAAATTGGAAAGAATCTGGAGACAAGGAAGGTGGGAGAGGAAATAATCAACCTCCTCGCGATCATAATAAAAGAAGAAGTAGCAAGGATAGGAAGAGATGAGGATGAAGAATAAAATAATGGATTGCGTTGGCTTGAATTCAGGTTGTATAAGATTCGGGTTAGATTCGAGTTGGGTTGGTTTTTGTTCAGGTTGAGTTGTATTAAATTAAGATTGTGTTAAATTCAGGTTGAGTTGAGCTAAATTTAATAAGTTCTTCATATAAATTTGTTTACCAGCCTCTTAATAAAGATAGTCTTTACATGGAAGAATCTCCGGTGCAAATATACATATAACTATTCGGCTATCCTTACGACTTTCAATCTGATAATAGTGGGAAAATATATCTATCATAATCTTAATTGGACACTATAAGGTTAACAACCTTTTAAAATTATATCTAACCTATAAAAGGAGGAAATTGAAATTCATTACTTTATTAAGTGATAATTTCATTAATACAGTTTGTTACGCAACACTATTGTTAAGAGAAGGTGTTTATATCTTTCATTGACAATTTCGTGTTAGTACATGAGCAGAAGTAAGTTTATAAAGTTGGTGATAATCGATACACATCGGTCAAGAGCACGCTAACAGGCGACTTTTCATAAATAAATTTATTCGATAAATATTATTGTAAATCGTAAATGCGACTTACTCAGTAAACTCCTAACACTCGCAATACTTGTGAAATAAATCTATTTATTTTGTTGTTGTACTTTGATAAATTAAACTTAAACTTTGATAATGATATAATAAATTTTCATAATCCAAATAGATAGTTTATCGGGAAATTTGAGTTTGAATCAATCTCAGTTTGCGATATATACAACACACAATGCTTTATGAAAGCGTATTCATGATCGGATTACGATAATGTATATATTAGGATAATCAGAAATGTTACCCTAATATATTGATACCCTATATACGGAAATTTCATATAACTCGTAATATATGAATGCAGTAATCATAGTTACGAAAATACTGCAACGGAAAAGTTACTAAAGGTCTAGTGTTAGTTCTACTTTTCGTTCAATAAAGATATACCACAATCTAACACTGAATAATAATTAAAAGGGGAATTAATACAAGATCTAGAAAGATTCTCAAGACGGCTAACCCAAATAATTCTAGTTATAGGTCTTGTGTTAGTTCTAATGATAGTGCTAGTGCAAAACTAGAACTAACACTAAATCTAGAGCTAGAGAGTTTCGGGTTTAGCCGTGCGTCTTCAGACAATTTCGAGTAAATGTCTTTTTGACTTCAATTACACTCATATACAATGAGTTGAAAGAAATGAATTTTTAACAAGTTATATCTTAAGAATTGATTGAGATATTGTAGTGAGATAAAAAACGTTTTATAGGAAATTTAATACATAATCAGTATATTCAATATCATATCTTCATATTTTCAAACTTCGAGGTTATGATTTTTTGAATACAATCGCAATCATACACAGAAGATTCAAAGACATCAATATTTAAAATATTATATCTCAAGAACTAATTGCGTTAATGCAATGAGATAAAAAGCATTTTATAGAAAATTTAATGTATATTTAGTACGTTCAAGGTCATTTCTTTAAAACTTTCAATTTCGAGTAAATGTTTTTTTGACTTCAATTACACTCATATACATTGAGTTGAAAGACATGAATTTTTAACAAGTTATATCTTAAGAACTAATTGAGATATTGTGATGAGATAAAAAGCATTTTATAGGAAATTTAATTCATAATCGGTATATTCAATGTCATATCTTCGTATTTTCAAACTTCGAAGTTATGATTTTTTGAATACAATCACAATCAGACACAGACGATTTAAAGACATCAATTTTTAAAATATTTTATCTCAAGAACTAATTGAGTTAATGCAATGAGATAAAAAGCAGTTTATAGAAAATTTCATTTATATTTAATACGTTCAAGGTCATTTCTTCAAAACTTCCAATTTTGAGTACATGTTTTTTTGACTTCAAATACACTTATATATAATGAGTTGAAAGACGTGAATATTTAACAAGTTATATCTTAAGAACTAATTGAGATATTGTCGTGAGATAAAAAGCATTCTATAGAAAATTTAATACATAATCGGTATGTTTAATGTCATACCTTCGTATTTTGAAACTTCGAAGTTATGATTTTTTGAATACAATCACAATCATACACAGAAGATTCAAAGACATCAATTTTTAAAATATTATATCTCAAGAACTAATTGAGTTCATGCAATGAGATAAAAAGCATTTTATAGAAAATTTAATTTATATTTAGTACGTTCAAGATCATTTTTTCAAAACTTCTAATTTCGAACAAATGTTTTTTTGACTTCAATTATACTCATATACATTGAGTTGAAAGACATGAATTTTTAACAAGTTATATCTTAAGAACTAATTGAAATATTGTGATGAGATAAAAAGCGTTTTATAGGAAATTTAATTCATAATCGCTATGTTTCATGCCATATCTTCGTATTTTCAAACTTCGAAGTTATGCTTTTTTGAATACAATCACAATCATACACAGAAGATTCAAAGACATCAATCTTTAAAATATTATATCTCAAGAACTAATTAAGTTAATACAATGAGATGAAAAACATTTTATATAAAATTTAATTTATGTTTAGTACGTTCAAAATCATTTCTTCAAAACTTCTAATTTCGAGTAAATGTTTTTTTTGTCTTCAATTACACTCATATACAATGAGTTGAAAGACATGAATTTTTAACAAGTTATATCTTAAGAAATAATTGAGATATTGTCGTGAGATAAAAAGCATTCTATAGGAAATTTAATTCATAATCGGTGTGTTTAATGTCATATCTTCGTATTTTCAAACTTCAAAGTTATGATTTTTCTAATACAATCACAATCAGACACAGACAATTCAAAGACATCAATTTTTAAAATATTATATCTCAAGAACTAATTAAGTTAATGCAATGAGATAAAAAACATTTTATATAAAATTTAATTTATGTTTAGTACGTTCAAGGTCATTTCTTCAAAACTTTCAATTTCGAGTAAATGTTTTTTTGACTTCAATTACACTCATATACAATGAGTTGAAAGACATGAATTTTTAACAAGTTATATCTTAAGAACTAATTGAGATATTGTCGTGAGATAAAAAACATTTTATAGGAAATTTAATTCATAATCGGTGTGTTTAATGCCATATCTTCGTATTTTCAAACTTCGAAGTTATGATTTTTGAATACAATCATACACACAAGATTCAAAGATATCAATCTTTAAAATATTATATCTCAAGAAGTAATTAAGTTAATGCAATGAGATAAAAAACATTTTATATAAAATTTAATTTACATTTAGTACGTTCAAGATCATTTCTTCACAACTTCTAATTTCGAGTAAATGTTTTTTTGACTTTAATTACACTCATATACATTGAGTTGAAAGACATGCATTTTTAACAAGTTTTATCTTAAGAACTACTTGAGATATTGTCGTGAGATAAAAAGCATTTCATAGGAAATTTAATTCATAATCGGTGTGTTTAATGCTATATCTTCGTATTTTCAAACTTCGAGGTTATGATTTTTTAAATACAAACACAAACATACACAGAAGATTCAAAAACATCAATCTTTAAAATATTATATCTCAAGAACTAATTAAGTTAATGTAATGAGATAAAAAGCATTTTATAGAAAATGTAATGTATATTTAGTACGTTCAAGGTCATTTCTTCAAAATTTCTAATTTCGAGTAAATGTTTTTTTGACTTCAATTACACTCATATACAATGAGTTGAAAGACATGAATTTTTAACAAGTTATATCTTAAGAACTAATTGAGATATTCTCGTGAGATAAAAAACATTTTATAGGAAATTTAATTCAAAATCGGTATGTTTAATATCATATCTTCGTATTTTCAAACGTCGAGGTTATGATTTTTTGAATACAATCGCAATCATGCACAGAAGATTCAAAGACATTAATATTTAAAATATTATATCTCAAGAACTAATTGAGTTAATGATATGAGATAAAAAGCAATTTATAGAAAATTTAATTTATATTTAGTATGTTCAAGGTTATTTCTTCAAAACTTTCAATTTCGAATAAATGTTTTTTTGACTTTAATTACATTCATATACAATGAGTTGAAAGACATGAATTTTTAACACGTTATATCTTAAGAACTAATTGAGATATTGTCGTGAGATAAAAAGCATTTTATAGCAAATTTAATTCATATTTAGTATGTTAAACCATATTGTTTCAAAACTTCAAATTTTGAGTATATGTTTTTTGAATTCAACCATAATCAAGCATGTTGGAATGAAAAACATCTATATTTAACAATTTATATATCAAGAACTACTTGAGATATTGCCATGGGATAAACAACATTTTATAGGAAAGTTGATTCATATTTAATATATTCAAGACCATTTCTTCAAATTTTCAAATTC